TTCCTCACAACAACCCTGCGGGGTAGGTTAGTCTGAGAGGCAGTGACTGGCCCAAGGTTGCTCAGTGAGCTTTGTGGCCGCGTTGAGGTTTCGAACCCTGGTTTCTCCCAGGTTCTACTCTGATGCTCTAACCCAGGGGTCCCCAAACTAAGGCCCGCGGGCTGGATAAGGCCCAAGGGATTTGTTTATCCGGCCCGCGACGACCCCTGCCGCCCGCTCTTACCAGTGCTGTGCTGCGCACTTCCGGGTCAGAGGAGCACTGGAAATAGCTTGTGCACATGCACAAGCATTATTTGCACATGCACAAGCATTATTTTCGGTGCACTTCTGGGTTGGAAGTGTGCCAGAAATAGTGTGTGTGTATGGGCACGCGCTCCCCCGCCCTCCAGCCCGCTACATGATCGATGCTGGAGACACCAGCCTGAGGCGCGGTAAGTTTGCTGACCCCGCTCTAACCACTAGACCACACTCCCTGTGTCTGCATGCAAAGCAGGGGCTCTGTCCCTGATTTCAGGGTCCTCCCTGGCCCAGACAGGGGACAGGCCAACTCTTGCCAAATTGAAGAGGCCTTCCCTGGCAAATCATGGGTAAGAATCCCCCCCCCCAAATGATTTTTATACAGCACCACAAAGTTGCAATTTCCCCAGTTTATTTATTCATCTTATTGCATTTATATCCCACCTTCTCTCAGGGTGGTGTACACAGTACTTTTCCTCATCTTTATTCTGACAACAACCCGGTGAGGTAGGTCTTCCTCATGGCTGAGTGGGGGTTTGAACCCTGGTCTTCCCAGTTCCTAGTCTGACCCTCTAACCACTACACCACACTGACTCACTTGCATCAGTCCCTGACAATGAAAAGGCAGGGTATAAATACAAAGTCGGTGATGATAAAATGAAGAAGAAGCCAAGACCAAAAGCCTTGAGAGCTGATGCTGAGGTAAAGTTTGGAGAACAGAAGGATGGCTTCCACTGGGGATTAGGGGGTTAAAGCCAACATGGAAAAGTGGCTTTTGAAAGGCGGGGAAGAGGGAGGAGGCACCACCTGGGGATTCCTGAAGGGTGTTTCAAGAGACCCCTTGATTTAGGCTGGCCGGCTCCCCTACCCCATTCACAGGTTTTCCATCAGGCTGTAATTCTGCAACACATCTTTCCCAGATGCGATGCCCCAAGCTAACACTTGCCCTGGAGACTCCTTGGCACATCCCACAACAGGCACACATACACACACACACACACACACCAGGACACCCCCCCTTGCTTACGTTGCCCATGATCCCGGGAAAGCCCCTGGTCCCCTTGCTCGGCTCTGGCGCAGCCCAACCCTTCGGTCCGACCTCCTTGGCATGAAGGAAAGCATAACACAACAGCACTGGATGAGTCCCCGGAGGGGCTGCTGAGTGACAGCAGCCCTTCTGCGAGCCCTGCTTGGCATCATTAGCCCGGCTGCCCTGGGTAACACACCAGCTGCCAGCCTCCCATTGGCCTCCTCCGGCTGCTCGAGAAATATTTTTGTCCTCCCAATGGGGAGGCAGGGGAGCTGTGAGAGTGGAGCTGTAGGAAGGGAGAGCCTGCAGGGAGGGAGGGAGGGAGGGCTGTTCCATGCACCTGAAGTCACCCCCATGCAACACACACACACACACACACGCACACAAAATGGCCCACAACGGCAGAACGATGATCTGGTGTAAACTCGGCTGGCAGAGTCCGTATCAGAGGAGTGCAAGTGCCTATCTGCATCTGGTTTTGCCGAAGAACCTCCTAGGGCTCAGGAATGGTTCAGATGGGCTGTGCCCATCATTTCATGACTGTCACACTCATAGGAGCCAACTCGTAGAGGCCTAGGTGGTTTTGGGCCCCCCCCATAAAATATTTGAGGGGGCTGCCCCTCTCCAAGTTGATGGGCATTGTCACTCAAATGGTATGCGTCCACAGCATCATGTGATCAACTAAGTGGGGCAGCACTTGCCTAAGGGCCACCCCCCATATTTTATTCAAGTTGGCACCCCTGGTCACACTTCATGATTGCCAACATGCAGTAGTGGTTAGAGCATGGGTAGGCAAACTAAGGCCCGGGGGCCAGATCTGGCCCAACTGCCTTCTAAATCCGGCCCGCGGACAGTCTGGGAATCAGCGTGTTTTTACATGAGTAGAAAGTGTGCTTTTATTTAAAATGCATCTCTGGGTTATTTGTGGGGCATAGGAATTTGTTCATTCCCCCCCCCCATATAGTCTGCCCCCCCCAACAAGGTCTGAGGGACCAGCCCCCTGCTGAAAAAGTTTGCTGACCCCTGGGTTAGAGTTTTGGAAGACCAGGGTTCAAATTCCCACTCGGTCATGAAGCTTACTGGGTGACCTTGGACTAGTCAGCCTACCCCACCTCGCAGGGTTGTTGTGAAGATAAAACACGAGCCCCTTTAAAAAGAAAAAAGAACTCTGTGCAATGCCTTGAGCTCCTTGGAAGAAAGGTAGGGTATAAATGTAAAAAAAAAATGAAATAAAGAAATGGACGGGTGAAACAGCAATCCCTGTTTAAACATGTCGTTGTTCCATGTTTATCCCTTGCCGTTCCAAGAGAAACCATTCACTGCAACTCGTGAAAAGAAATATGGACTCAAGTGTTGCCTAAACTGGCCCTAAAAACAGCTCCACATCTGCGCTGAATGCACCAGGGTCTGGTGACGCATCTACCCATCAAGAACTTCTGAAAACCTTCAGCATCCAAAGAAAAAGCCCATTTCCCCATAGTCAGACCCCCCCCCAAATCTGGCTAATAGGGTTCAACAGGTGGCATCCATCTCTTTCAAACTATTATTCCCCAACAAAGTAAGCTACATCCCAGAGTTAACTGCCCCTTTCCCAGGCTCCTTCCACACCAAATCCCTTTAGCATTGCTTGGGTGCTGTTTTATGGAAATAAGGAGCAAAGCTGAAATGTGGGTTCCGCAATTAACATAATCCAGCAATATCCTTCCCTCTGGTGAAGATTCTTTCCATGATGATTGCACAGTAAGAGCTCAGCAACCTTAGGTCTCCTGCAATGTTAAGTGGTAGCTTCCTCCTTGCAACTTAGGCCCTATTTATTGCCTCTTGTTCAGTGTGATGGGGGGATTTTAATGCTATGTGATCCAGCAATGTCCTTCCATCTAGCAAAGGTCCTTCCACGATGACTACACAGTAAGTACTCGGCACCTCAGGTCCCCTGCAGAGTTAATTGAGAGCTTCTTTCTTCCAGCTTAGACTCCTTTTTACTGCCTCTTATTGCATGTGACGCTGGTGGCACTGTGGGTTAGACCACAGAGCCTAGGACTTGCCAATCAGAAGGTCGGTGGTTCACATCCCCGCTACGGGGTGAGCTCCCATTGCTCAGTCCCTGCTCCTACCAACCTAGCAGTTTGAAAGCACATCAAAGTACAAGTAGATAAACGGGAAGGTAAACGGTGTTTCTGTGCGCTGCTCTGGTTCGCCAGAAGCGGCTTAGTCATGCTGGCCACATGACCCGGAAGCTGTACGCCGGCTCCCTCAGCCAATAAAGCGAGATGAGCGCTGCAACCCCAGAGTCGGCCAGTACTGGACCTAATGGTCAGGGGTCCCTTTACCTTTACCTATTGCGTGTAATTGGGGAGTTACGGGCAAGGAGCCAGTTAATTGTTCCTTGAATAATCTCTCTCAATGGCTCTTGTCATCACTGCCTCTCCCTTTTCTCTCTGGTGTCACTCTTCCCTGTCAAAGCAAGCCAGCCGCCTGCATGACACGATTCTCACCATGTTTTCCACCGTGCGCAGGTACTTGGCGCAATGCAGGTGCCCGTTGTAGTCTGCAAGGTCGGCCGCCGTGTAGCCATCCTGGTCGCGAATGCCCAAGTTTACGCCGTTCACAACGAGGATTTGACAGCACTGAGAGGAGAAGAGAAAGGCAGTCAGCCCACAGGAGGAAGTACCACCACCAAGCCTCGAAAGGAACAAGGCTGCCTTCTTCTCAAGCTATGGCATGCCAGAGATTCATTTGTTCTGGCCCAGAGCTGCCTCCTTTTGCAGCAAACCTCCAAAGTTCCCTTTTATGAACTGTAGGGGGTTGGACTAGATGACTCTTGGGGTCCCTTCAATTTACCTGGAGATACGGGGAGACTTGCATGTCCCTACCCAGCATTCTGGGGCCCAGCCAAGAACCCATATATCCCCAGGTCACTGCCCCGGCCTCACAGAGTCCTGTTTCCATAAAGGACAACTCTATTCTTCATGCTTTGGCGTCTGCAACGAAATGTTGCAGCGTGTCTTCCTCACCTCTAAGCATGTGCGCTCATTCTCAGGAAGGGCTGCAGCTCAGCAGTAGGTCCCAGGTTCAATCCCCAGCTGCATCTCCAGGCAGGGCTTAGAGAGACTACTGCCTGGAGCTCTGGGGAGCTGCTGCCAGTCAGTGCGGACAATACTAAACCAGGTGGACCTCCCTGTAGTCCACCTGTTTAGGGTTCCAGCCACTTAGCCACGTTGCCTCTTGTATCAGTTGTAATTAGACCTAGCAAGCCTATTTTTCCAGCTGACACTTGACATTCCTCACCGGACTATGTTTCTTGGGGTGGTTTGCCCTCTTAAGGCAAAGAAGAACCTCTTAACACCAAAGGCTCAGTTGGTTAGAGTGTGGTGCTGATAATGCCAAGGTTGCAGGTTCGATCCCTGTTTGGGACAGCTGCCTATTCCTGCATTGCAGGGGGTTGGACTAGATGATCCTAAGGGTCCCTTCCAGCTCTACAATTCTATGATTCTAAGAGGTTTTGTTGTTTTTTATTTTTCAAAACCCTGTACTTCTGCAAACCTCATGAACGAGCCCCACCCCCCACCCCAGCACGTTGATATCTCTCTCTAGTTTCGCCATAGCCTTGTTTCAGCTCCATCAGTACTCATCAGCTGTTTTTGCCATTACCATATTTTTCGCTCCATAAGACGCACTTTTTTCCTCCTAAAAAGTAAGGGGAAATGTAAGTGTGTCTTATGGAGCGAATGGCGCTGTGCAGAGAGGGAGAGCTGTGCAGCGCCCCTTTAGCGGGGCGTCTGTCCTGCGAAGCCGGAGGAGGAACAGAAGGGGCTCCTTCTGTTCCTCCTCCCGCTTCGCTGAAGGGGCGCTGTGCAGCTCTCCCTCTCTGTGCAGCGCCTCTCCTGTGCAGCGATCCCACTTGCTGTTCTGGCTTCTGCCTTAGCCGCGCGCAGCCTCTTCCAGGCAGGGGGAGCCGTCATCCCACTGCCCTGAAGAGGCTTGGCGCGGCTATCCCAGAAGCCAGAACAGCCAAAGGCTATCCCAGAAGCCAGGTCCCTCTTGCTGTTCTGGCTTCTGGGATTCAGAATATTTTTTTTCTTGTTTTTCTCCTCCAAAATCTAGGTGCGCCTTATGGTCTAGTGCGTCTTATGGAGCGAAAAATACGGTAAATGTTTCCTTTTTTTAAAGTGCCTTATGCATTTCACATACATTATTCAGAAATCTTTCCAACAACTCTGCAAGGTAGATCAGACTTCGCCTTGTTTCACGGACATGGTTTCTGCACGCTAAGGCAGGGAGATAGCAACCAGCTAACAACATTTCGTGGGTTTGTGGCTGAATGAGGGATTTCTGGCTGAACTGAGGCCCCACTCACAGCGTCCAATGTAAAGTATTATGATGCTAATTTAAGCAATCATTTCTGCACCCAAAGAATCCTGGGAGCTGTGGTTTGGTAAGGGTGCTGAGAGTTTGGTCTGAGAGCCCCATATCTCCCTTCAGCGACCTACAATTCCCAGAGCGCTTTAACAATCAATCTCTTTTGACAGGGAACTCTGGGAACTGTAGCTCCAGCAGGGAAATGGGAGAGGCCTCCTAACAATTCTCAGAACCCATAATAAGCTACAGCTCTCAGGATTCTTTGGGGTTGTTGCAAGAGGTATGATAAGTGCTTCAAATGCATACTGCAAATGTGGCCTGAGAAGCAACCCTGGATAAAATTCCATGCACTTACGGGGTAGGACAGACCCTATGCTCTGCCCCTACAGACCACACAGCAACTGCACAGCCCCTCTTCACTCTTCCCGGCCCTCCCTACAAGACACTTGCAAGGCCGACCGCTTGCGGACTCACCTCCAGCTCCCCGTTTTCAGCCGCGTCGTGCAAGGGGGTCCCGCCCCAGTGGTCCGTGGTGATCTCCCCTCCGTGCAAAAGCAGCCAGCTGAGAACTTTGGCGTGGCCTCGGCTGGCGGCGAAGTGCATGGCGGTAGCACCGTCGTCGTCTTGTTCAGAGAGGCTGATAGCCGTGAAGCTCATCTGAGGAATGAGAGATAAATGGCAGGACATATTTTATATAGGGTAAATATGGTAAAGTGTCTTCTCTGTCTTTCTCTCTCTTGCTTGCTTTTTTCACTATTCTAGTTCTGTAGACTAGTTTGATTCTTATTGTATTTTATGCTGAAATTTTTCAATTAATTTTTTTTTTTAAGGAAAGAGAGAGAGCGCGAGAGAGGGAGAAGGCAGGATAAAACGCCCCCCTGAAATAAAACAGGCCAAGAAGCATAGCTGTCAACTTTTCCCTTTACTTGCGAGGAACCTTATTCGGAATAAGGGAATTTCCCTTTAAAAAAGGGAAACATTGACAGCTATGCCAAGAAGCTCCATTCCAGCAAGCGCCACTGGAGAGGATTGCGATACAAAAGCAAACAAATGCAATTTGCTTATAGGTGACCACTTGAATGTTGCTTGGGCAGCCTTACTGGGCCCCGAGTTCTGATCCCCCTTGCGCCCAGCCTTCGCTGCAGCCCCGAGCAGCCCTCACCAGCCAGACGATGACGGTGTTGTGGCCCATCTGGGCGGCGGCATGGAGAGGGGTCATCCCGTCGTTGGCGCGTAGGTGGGGGTCCGCTCCGCAGTCCTTGACCAAGTACTGGATGATTTCCAGGTGGCCCTCCTGGCAAGCTAAATAGAGAGGTGTGGCACCGTTCTTGGTTTGGGCACTGACCGAACTGCAGGGGCGAGAAGACGGAAAGGAAGAGTGGGTGGGAAGGAAGTGTTCCGGTTTACTAATGTTCTTTGGAACCCGAACATCCAACGTGGCTTCTGCGGCTTCGGTTTCCGAATGTTTTGGAAGTCGAACGGACTTCTGGGACGGATTCCATTTGACTTCCAAGGTACCATTGTAGGTCTGAGGTGAACTAAATCGAGTTTTTTGCAATCCTCTCCAAACCTGTGATTTTTTTCCCCTATCAGGGAAAAAGGCAGGATGTAAATAAGAATAAGAGTAAGAATCATATTAATAGAAAAGGAGATTGCTAAAATGATCAAGCCAGTTTCTTTGTTAGGTATACAACGGACGCTCGGGTTACAAATGTGATCCGTGCGGGATGCACGTTCGCAACCTGGAGCGTTCGCAACCCACAGCGGCGCGTCTGCGCATGCGCAGGTTGCGATTCGGTGCTTCTGCACATGCGTAAAGTGCGATTTAGTGCTACTGTGCATGCATGACTGTAGAAACCCGGAAGTAACCCATTCTGGTACTTCCGGGTTTCGGCGGTCTGTAACCAAAAAAAAAACGCAACCTGAAGCGCCTGTAACCTGAGGTATGACTGTATAGCCCTAGCCATGTGTCTTAAGGATCTGCTTGGTCATGTATGCTTGGGCTAAAGCATTGCCTCGGAAATTAAACAGCTGGAGTCACTTCTGGAAGGTGATTAGGAGAGCGCGTCTCTCCCATCCAGCTTCCCTAAGTCTCTGTTGTTCTCTCTCTCACACAGAGACCTATAAAATAGCCCTTTGGACCAGGTGCCTTGAAAGAGCAACTTCATTCCTAATTGGCCTGTTTGATCATTATGATTAGCTGGTAGCATAAGTCTGCTTAGTGGCAACCAGGAGAGGGTCTCTGGAACAAATATTTCTCTTCCTGCAGCGCTGCCAGGAGATACCTGGGAACTGAACCAGGGAGCTTTTCAATGCAGGGCAGATGCTCCAAGACTGAGCCACTGACCACCTCTCCTTGCTCAGTGCTGCCACTTCTGTACCCCATGCTGCAAGCAGAGAGGAGCTCTCAGTTGATGCTCTCCACCCCCACCCCCCCACCCCGCTCCAGGCAGGGCCATCCCATCCTTCTGGGTCATTAAGTTAATCAGCCTGCTTAGGCTAAGCTTCTTCCACCGGCTGTTTTTGGATGCTGCAGTTTCGTATCATGTTTAAATAAGCAGATTAGGCGAGTAGTAAACACAGGAGGGGAAAGGGTAACAACTCAGCGATGAAAATGGAAGGATAGAGGATAACAACCCACTTCGAATCAGAAGCTCTCGAACTTGTGGACATCCAAGGAAGCTGAATGCTGGAAGACTCGGGGTGGATAAAATCAAGTCCTCCTTCGCCCAGGGCATAGTTAAACTGTGGAACTCCCTGCCACAGGAGGCAGTGATGGCCACTGACTTGGATGGCCTTAAAAGAGAATTAGACAAATTCATGGAGGAGAGGGCTAGCCAGGATGGCTATGCTTTGCATCCATGGTCAGAGGCAGCAATGCTTGTAAATACCAGTTTTGGGAAACCACAGGAGGAGTGAGGGCTCTCATGCTTAAGTCCTGCTTACTGTTTTCCCGCAGTCACAGGATGAGGGACAAGCTGAGCCAGGTTCCTGATGCAGCAGGGCTCTTCTTATGTTCTTTGTGAGCCAGTGTGTGAGCCAGTATGGTGAGCCAGTGTGGTGTAGTGGTTAAGAGAAGTGTGGTGTAGTGGTTAAGAGCAGTGGACTCGTAATCTGGTGAACCGGGTTCGCGTCTCCGCTCCTCCACATGCAGCTGCTGGGTGACCTTGGGCCAGTCACACTTCTCTGAAGTCTCTCAGCCCCACTCACCTCACAGAGTGTTTGTTGTGGGGGAGGAAGGGAAAGGAGATTGTGAGCTGCTTTGAGACTCCTTCGGGTAGTGATAAAGTGGGATATCAAATCCAAACTCTTCTTCTTTTTCTTCTTAATTTTTATGGGCTGGAGGAATTCTATATAGCAAACGAAGGTAGAGGCAGCAACAGAAGCAGATTCTGGGTTGATCATCACACACCTTTGTGAGACAGGCTCCTTCCCATGTGACAGGGTCTTTTTGTTCCTTGAGGCAGAGCGACAGATGACTCTCACCAATCAGTCAAGAGTCTGAATTCCCCCAAACATGCACAGGATTTGCTTTAAAAGAGCATTTTGTTTCAGATCAGTTGGTAGACCAAACAAATCTGACTATACCACCTATGCCACCCAGAGGGTGGCAACACAAGAACAGGCCTTTTCTGCAGTAGCTCCCCATCTGTGGAATGCTCTACCCAAGGAGATTCGCCTGGCGCCTTCATTATACACCATTAGGCACCAGGCAAAAACGTTCCTCTTTAACCAGGCCTTGGGCTGATTACCATCCAGTGCCCTTTTAAAATGTTTTGTGGAACATTATTGGGTTGTCTTTGTTTTTATTATGTATTTTGTTGTTTTTTTAATTGTGGTTTTATGTTGTGAACTGCCCTGAGATCTATGGAAATAGTGTGATATCATCATCATCATCATCATCATCATGTGACAGGGTAAATAGGTGCATCTACATCATCCTCTGAAAGCTGTGTGATGAGGGTGCCAGGCACACTGCTTTGGGGAGGGAGTTCCACAGCTTAGGGGCCACCACAGAGAAGACCCTCTTCTCCCAGGTCATCTCCACCCCCAAGCTTCTGAGGACAGAGGAACTACCAAAAGGCTCCCTTTGCCAAACTCAGCACCCAAGAGGGTCTTTAAGGAAGAAAGTGGTCTTTCAGCTCTTTGGGTCCCGAGTCATTTAGGGCTGAAGGCTGCTGCACCTCCTAAGTACCAGTTTCGGAGTAGTTTTGTCCCACGAGGTGGGGGCAGAGCAACTCAGATTCGCGAAGGGAGGTTGAATTGTTCAGACACCCGGTTTGTTGATGGAAGCAGCCATTCCAACACTGGCAAACACAAAAGCGACCGCTTTCAGAAAAGAAGAGGGCATGGGGTTGAATTCCTGGCATGGGCAATTGGTTGGGTTCCTCAGAGCTGAGAGCCAGAGCTCCTTTGCTAGTCAATTGCCTCTTCTCCCCTTCATTGTCTGTTGCATTATGGAATAGGAGTCGCAGCTGAGTGGAAGAGCACCTGCTTTGCATGCAGAAAGTCCCAAGT